TGCTGATTTGTATGTGTGTATGTGGGCATTTATGCGCACTTCCATGGTCCAGAATACTGATCTGCAATGTGCCATCTACCAGCAGCAGAGCAGGGCCCATGTTCTCAGCCAATGGCTAAAAACATGGGCCAGGTGCTCAGCCGGGACCCGGGACGTCTGGAATTGCAGGGTCTGCATCAGCCCGTGGGGAGCCTGGGTGTGTGTCTGCAGGCACCTGCGCTCGCCTCCGAGTGGCTCTGTCGCCCCTCTGCAGCTCTTCTGTGTGGGCCTCACGGATTTGGGCCTCAGTTTCTTGGGGCCTCCGGGTGACGCAGTCACATTCTTTCAGCATGGAGGGAGGTTAAGTTCCCAATGGAAATACAGATGGCATGGGTCAAAGAGCAGGCCTGGTTCCTGGGAGGTGAGACACCAGTGAGCGCCAGCTAGAAGGTCCAGTCTCATTACCAACTCTGCTCCTTACTTGCTCTGTGGCCTTTTTTTTTTTTTTTCTGGTCTTGCATCATCTTTGATGGTGTCTCATTCTAATGATGTGTAAAAATCGATATATGGCAAGATCAGTTTTTTTCTGACAGTGTTACTGTGAGGACCTAGTGAGAAAGTCTACTGAAGTGCAGCACCTTATCTAAGCCATGCCAGTGGAAGCGTGTCCTGCTGCTGGCTACATCACCTGCTTCTGGAGCCTATCGATAGAACCCGATGACATCAGGATTCTGTGATCATCAGGCGTTGTCCAAGAAGTTCCCCCTGACCAGCTCATATTTGTGTGATCATTGGCACGGGTCCGCTCCTCCTGTCAGATATTTGTAACCACAAGCAAGAAGCAGGGGTTTGTAGTTTGCTGTACAGATTGAGAAGTTCTTGAATAGAAGAACTTGGCCTGTGGTCTTTGGAAAGCAACTGGAGATTTCAGTAGGGAGGTGGTAGGAGCAGACATTCCCTCCTGAGACTATGAGGGTTGAACTGGGAGCAGGAGCAGTAAACACCAGGAACACGTTGTCAGCAATGCAGGCGGAGATCAGCTCCAAGACAGACTGAACTTCACTGTGCTCCATGGTTATTCCTTCATCTCGCCGTATCTGGGCATAGGAACCCGTGAAAAGGACTGTTGTGCAAATTCAAAGCAGCAGGCCCAGTGAAGCGCTTAGCCTGGCATGTTGCCCATGGTGAACATTCTCCTGTTAGCAGTGTTTCATGTGCGTCCCCGCCCCCATTTCTGTGGTAGTCAAAAGTATATCACGTAAAATCTATCGTTTTAATTATTTTTAAAATATTTTATTTTTATTGCAAAGACATATATATATAGAGAGAGAGACAGACAGAGAGGAAGATCTTCTCTCTGATGATTCACTCCCCAAGTGACCGCAATGGCCAGTGCTGAGCCAACCCGAAGCCAGGAGCTTCTTCTGGGTCTCCCACATGGGTGCAGGGTCCCAAGGCTTTGGGCCATCCTCAACTGCTTTCCCAGGCCACAAGCAGGGGGCTGGATGAGAAGCAGGGCTGCCAGGATTAGAATGGGTGTTCTTATGGGATCCCTGGGTGTTCAAGGTGAGGACTTTAGCCGCTAGGCTACCACACCGGGCCTATTTTAACTATTTTTAACTGTTCAGTCAGTGGCATTATGTTCAAGGTGTTATATAACCATTACCACTATATTTCTAGAACTATTCCATGACCCTGAGTAAAACCCTTGTAACTATTAAACAGCAGCTTCCCAGGTCAGCTCCAATCTACTTCCTGTATTGATGAATCTGCCTGCACCAGGCAGTTCTTGTAACTGACATTGTGTGTTTGCTTAGGGAAGCATAGATGGGTTTCCCTCAGTGTGATTTTTCTCCAGGTTGTGTTCGTGTTACAGCATGCTGTGAAGCTTCACCTTTGAGATCAGCTAGTACTCCAGTGTGTGGGCATACCACGTCCTGTCTGTCTATTCATCTGTCACTGGGTTCTTGGGTTGCTTGCAGTGTCACCTCTCGTGAGCCATGCTGCAGTAAAGCAGATAGCTTGCATCCTTGCTTCCGACTCTGTGGACGGTATCCCTAGGAGTGGAGTTGCTGGCTGGAGTTCTACATGTCATGTTTTGAAAAGCTGCCGCACTGATTTCTGCAGTCGAAGCGCCACCGGGCACTGCCACGAGCCACGGAGGAGGGCTCCAGGCTCCCCCCAGCCTCGCTGGCACGGGAGCCCTGGTGAGCGTGAGGGCTGGAGCTGAGTGGTTCTGATTTGCATTTCCCGTGTGAATAATGATGCAGCACATCCTGTCATGTGCTTGGTGATCACTTGTGTATTTTCTTTGGAGAAATATTGTATTTTAAGCCCTTGCTTAAACCCGTGCAGGGGAAGTAGAGAAAACCAGAGGGAACAAGGCAGTGGATGCAGCCAGACTGCGTGACTGATTTGGTAGGGTGGTTGGTGCTGAGTTTTCCAGCTTGGGTAAGTGGATGAATGATGGGGTGTCAACGAAGACACCTCTGCTGTGAGAAGGTCCGGGTGGGAGGCAGTGTGCTGTCTCTGGGTGGCGCTGCATCCAGCCTGCAGAATTCATTGCCATGTCCATGGCTTTGATTGGTATTCTCTCCCCCACCCCAAGTACAGAATATATTTTCAGTTATGTCTTCTCCCTGATTCTACTTTTATATTATTTTCATTGTATCTTTTTATTCCACTTCTATATCTGGCCAATGTAAACAATTATTGGGAGTCAGGTTCATGTAGTGATATAGTGGGTTAAGCTCCCATTTGGGATGCTGCTATCCCATGTTGGAGCTCTGGTTCAACTCCTGGCTGCTCTGCATCTGATCCAGCTTTGTGCTAACGGCACCTGGGAAGCTGGCTGAAGACGAGCTGAGTCCGTGGGCCCTGCCGCCTCCGTGGAGCACGTGGGTGGAGTTCCAGGTTCCTGGCTTCATCCAGCGTGGACCATTGTGGCCATTGGGGGAGTAAACTAGTAGACAAAGGGTTTTTCTCATTCTTTCCAATAAATAAACAAATACATCTTAAAATTATAGCAGTCACTGGGGGGGGGGGCATGGGATTCGGGATGTACAGCCCAGTCTTCCTCCTTTTTGCCCTTTAGCAGCTGCTCTTCGTCAGGTGGGTCCTTTCCAAGCAGCTGTTGCGCCTGGCAAGCCTTCGGGCAGGCGGAGGGCGGGGCAGAACGCTCTTGAGGGCTGTGGCTTCTGAGGCTTTTTCCAGGGGCCACCCCAGCCTTTCGACATTTTCCCCCTCTCTCTCACCCTGTCCCAGTGTGTGCCCCTGGTGATTGGGGTCAAGTGAGTGCTACGCAGGTCACCACTGGCCCACTGCACTGTTTGAATCCCTCCTTGGTGGGGTTGGATGCTGTGTGGGCACACAGCTGCATCTGCACCGCCCTGGAAAGTTAGGCTTTGCATGTTGCTTCTTCCTCTGGAGGAGCAGCAGTGGGGAGATGAGCTACTTGCGGTGCATTGTCTTTGCGTTTAGAACCCTGACAGGCTGTCAGACAGCACCAACAGAGCATCCTGTCGTGGGGCTCAGGGAGGCAGTGTTTGTGCATTGTCCCCTGATGCCATCTGTCATGAGGTGACAGGGACCCCTGGCCACCATTGGGGCTGCTGAAGTGTGTAGTCATGCTCATACATGTACATACATGGTGCTGTGCAGTGTGCAGAGGTACCAGTGTTGGCATAGGTCTGAACTCTGCCTAGGAGCCCTGTGAGATGCCAGCTGAAACTCTTAAGCCAGCAAACTGTCAGCTTTAGTCTCTGGTGTCTGACGGGGCCCTGGTGAGGCGGGAGGAGTTGTGGGTGAAGCTGCTGCACAGAGCAGAGCCAGCAGTGGGGGAAGCTGCAGTAGTGACTGTGCCACCCGTGGGTGTGGCGGAGGCTGTGGGGCAGTAGCAGTGGGAGCTTTTGTCTTTTGTCATTTTCTTGCATCCCCTGTCCAGGCCTAACCATGGCTGTCCGACAAACTTCCCGCCCTTGGGCTTGTTCCGCAGAGAATCTGTTCTCATTTCTCACCCTCCATTCTTTGTCAAGAGCACACCTCTTGTTCCCGAGTCCTCCCTGTCATCAGACAGGCTTCAGATGCAGCGCCTGAGCTGCCACGGTGACCCGCTGTGGTGGTCACAGATCAGACAAGTCCACAGGCTGTGGTGCTGCTTCGGGGGGACTCCCGTGTGTTCACCTGTGCTTGTCAGTTACTGTCACTCTGGGTTAGACCTGCTTTGGGAAAGCATTAAGAACATTATTAAGGTATTCTGAAACATTATACCAGCCATCATTTTTAAACAGCCAAATATTGAAGGAACTTAGAAAAGAGTCCACCTAGAGCAGGGCCAGTGAACTTTGAAGATATTTTAGGCTTTGGTCTCCATCGCAGCTGCTCAAGTCTGCCTTCCGTAGCAGAGCAGCTGCCAAAAATACAGTTTAGCACACAGTTGTGGGTCCTGTTCAAACTTTATGTACAAAACCAGCTGTGGGCTATAGTCTACTGCCAGTCTTTATTTTAACTGTCAACCTTATTTTTCTCTTATTCAAGAGTTAAAACAGCAAGGGAACTTGATAATTGTAAATGAATTTAAATTCTCTTCTTTTGGGTTTAGTTTAATTGTGAGTACAATGACGATCGGGGGGTGTAATTTCCAGACCCCTGTTGAGAACAATAGAGATCAGAGGGCTTTTTAGGAGGTGAATCTAGTTGGCCAAAGCTTATCATTCTTTAAAAAGTAGGACAGGCTTGGCTGAGTGCTGTCCTGTGGCTTTTCTGTGTCACTAATTCTCTCAATGGTTACATGCATAGGCCACAGGCATGTGGTGGTCTCACCATCCTGGACGCTATTCTATTTTCTAGTACTGGGTGCTTCTGTAATAGCTGCAAGTGGGAAAAAAACCTGTAAAAAAAAACAAACACCCTCCTGTTTAATATGTTAACCTCACTGTAGTTCATTTCCAGAAAACTGAAACTGAAGCTAATCAAGGAGGCTAAAATGTCAAGCTACAATCTGTTTTCTTCTGTTCTCACAGGAAATAAAGAAAGACATGAAGAAAGACCCTCTCTCTAACAGAGCTCCAGAAAAGCCCATGCACGAAGGGGCCAGTGGCAACTCTTTGCTGTCTTCTGAAGCCATTTTAAGAACCAACAAGAGAGGTATGGCAAACGAGAAAGAGACCCCTTCCCCATGCACAGCCCCAAGCTAGAGAGTTCCAGGTGAACGGTGTCCACTTTGGCATTGATGTAGCCAGTGGGTACAGTGCTTTTGGCACACGTGTTGGACAGACACGGAGCACATGACTGAGCGTAGTTGCTCAATGACGTGGCTTTGATGACAGGAAGGTGGACTGCATCTACAAGTGATGGCTTCTGTAGGGCTTTAGCTTTTGCTTTTGCATCTCTTTTGATGGATGAGAGGTGAACGTTGAGAGTGTTATAAAGCAGGCCTGAGCTGTGTGTACCTCACAACACTCTGGTTTTAAGGAGACTTGGTCAGGGTCTTTCTCCCCAGCTGCTGACCTCCTTAACACAGACCCTGCCCCTGGGGGTTGCGAGGCAGAACTATGTGAACACATCTGGATGGCCACCTGACCTGGAAGGACCTCGTTTTGCCCTCTTCAGAGACCTCAAAGCGGATTGTCAGGTTTTCAGCTTGTGGGAGTTTGTGTTTTCTCCCCAGGCCTCCTTGCTCAGCCCGTCCTGGGGCAGCCGGGTGCGTGGAGCACTCCACCATCCCCTAGTGGCCAGCTGCCGGCTCCTAACAGGCGTCCAACTTCCTTAAAGAGAGACACCGAGCCGTGGAAGGCAACAGCAACAAGTGGAGTAGCTTGCAAAGGGTTCTATGAACAAGAGAAAGGAGGCCAGTTTACAGAACCATGAGGAAAGAACAGCTAATCTTTCATAAAACCCAGGCAGCATAAGTGTTTGTCCAGTGAGCTGCCTGTTGGTCGTAGCTGGAAGCAGCTTGGTGGCTGGCTCTCTTCCTGTCTCCTCTGTTACCCCCTCCAGCTGTCCCGGCTCACATTTCCTTTTTTGAATTACAGAGATGCTGGGACATTGGCTGAGTGCCGACATGGGTTAGCCTCTATGGGATTTTATTTTATCTTTTTAAAAACACCCAATCCCATGAAAAGGGAGGCTTCCCATTTTAGGGATTCAGCAGACACTGAGGTACAACTTAACACTTTGCCCGCACAGTGCCCCTGGCCTTCGTGCGGACAAGCTGCCAGGCTCCTGAGACGCGCAGGCCCTCGGAGCCCTCCCGGCTCCCTGCCTCTCCCTGCCCAGCTGCTGTGCACCTGCTGGCGGGCCGCATGCGCTCTGCAGCCAGCGCCTTTTTGGGAAAGTCAGTGAGAGTTCAGATAATTCATTAGTTGGACAAGAGAAAGAATTAATTAAGGTAAGGAATGAAGGTAATTACCAGGATGAGTTCAGTAAAATTACCTGAGAACTTTGAATCAACAAAGGAATAGAACTTCTCAGGTAATTGTCTCTTTATGACCAAGCAGCTGGCCTTCTGTGTTCCCCTGTGGAGCTTCTCATTCACCAAAGAAGTGGAATGAGAAGAAATGGCTTCCTGACTCACTCCTTCTGAAGGCCCTCGCCTCACCACGCCGGGCACGCGTGCTGGCTCGTGTTCTAGTCCCTGTTTGCCGGCGGCTGCGAGGCCCGGCTGCACGGAGGCGCTCTGTGGATGGGAAGCATGACAAGCCATTTTCATTCTGTCCCAGGCTTGGCGCTAGCCTCCTGCGTCACCTGGGCCAAACATAAATCTCCAAGTGAAGGGAAGCATTGTCCCAGGCCCAAGCTGCCTTGGGCCCTCCCCCAGCCTCCAAGACCAACAATATTCTACTGCTCCTTACAGCAAACAGCGGGTGGGCGAGATTGATTGGCCTTGTCAGGCCAGATAAATAGTTCATTGTGCTGAGTTCAAAAGCTACATTTTTTTCCCACCCCAAATCAATGAAAAAACACTGTTTTCCCTCTAAAACAGGGATCAGAGGCTAAATCTGTGGGATGACTCTACTTAGTTGAAAACACTTCCGTGCAACTCCGTTTGCCTCTTGGGAGTTTTGCTGGACGACCGAGTGTCCCACTGCCCTTCGTCCCAGGACAGCCACCTCGTGTGTGGCTCCGTGCTGTTACAGCCCTTGGGGAGGGCGCTTGCCTTCAGGCTTCGTTAAGAGGCTGTTTTGATTCACTGCTGTGGGATCTTTCCTAAAGCTATGAGTACCTTGTGATACAGCCTTGTGCCCTGGGAGAATTTAACAGAATGAACAGCGGCTTTTTCCCCCCTTGATCAAAGATGAGTATTTTCTGTATGCAAGTCTTATAATTTGATGTAGGCTTTGAGTTGGTTTAATAATGAAAGACTCAAAGTCTGTTTTTGTTGAGTTTAAAATTGAGCCACTTCATCGGATCCTGAATTTGAGATGGGCATCACTAATGAAGTTTGTCTACTTGTGCTCAGCCATTTTTCCATTTTGTGACATGCCTCACTTTGCAACTGTACAGACGGGCTATAATTCCTCGCGTGTGGGCTGACCTGGGCCTCTGCAGACACCTGCCTGAACGAAGCCCGGGACTGCAGAGACATTGGTTCCAGACTGATTAGTTTCTGTGTTCAGCCTTAATGACTTGGTAGGTTTTTCATTGGAGAAGATGTAACCAAGATTGAGAGAGACAGAATTCTCCCAGCCAGCCTGGCAACCATCGGCTCCATTTCCCAGCCGTGCACTTTAGGGCCCTTCCTACCTTTGGTCGCAGTAAAGGAACTTCTCGTTTGACCCAAAGATTTCCTGAGGAATAAGAAACCTTTTTTTTTTTAATTTAAATTTGAAGCATAGATGTTGAATATCCTGAAGGTGTTCAAGACTCCAGAACATTCAGGAATTGCGGCCTGAAAATGGGAAAACTTTGCATACAAATGTTGTTTTCATGAACTGGGCAGAAAGGAGTTGTCTGTTTCATTCTGAGAATGTTTTATTCTTTTGTGTCTTCTTGTTAAAACCATATAAGAGAATGAGACACACTCCTAAGTTAGAGTGTTGATATATTCCAGAATATTTTTGGGGGGAAAAGCATTCAAATCTTGAATTTGAAGGCAAAATCGAATAAATTGCAAGTTTTAATGATTATGACAAAGGTTCATAATATGTAGTTGAAAGCAAGTGGTGGGTTTTGTCCAATTTAACATTTAAATTAGTATTTAACATTCTATTTGAGTTTTAAAAGAATGAAGATCAATTGACTTAGCCCTTGGCAAGACTTCCCAGCTCACTGTATGCGTGCAGTCGTTCAGGTTGCTGGCCTGGAATGGCTACCTGGCTGGCCTGGGTGAGGACTGGGTTCTGTCTCAGAGCTCTGGTTTGCGTGGTGAGCAGACCACATGTGCAGGATGCAGCTCTGCCTCTCCCTGGCCCCCTTCTGCAGCTTGTCATCTAGGAGATTGCTCCCCTCCTCACTAGGCAGTAGACACCAACGAGCATTCAGCAGCACGTGATTCCTGCATGCCTACTGCAAATGTGCCTCTGTTCTTGGTACTGGGAAGATGTGAATTCTAGAATAACACCAGGCATCCTGCCTGCCAGCCATTCCAGGCTGATGTGTCTCACTTGGGAAATGTTGACAAAGGGCTATATGTTTCTTTTTAACGTCAAATTTGGGGTCACTTCTGTCATTCTGAATGTGAAGCCACTCCATGGGTTTCTGGTTGGCTTTATATGTCCTTGTTTCTATTTCCAGTTTATCATGAATTCAGTTGTTGGTAAGTCTCTACTGTATTTTGCACACTTATTCTTTGCTATTATTATTATTATGCTCTCCCGATATGAAATGTGTTTTATTATCATCTTTTTAAGTCGCTCTGCTACTTTGGCATCTGCCTCCTGGCAGATAAACTGCTTTTACCATCTTTATTTAAGATTTGTTATGCATTTGCATTTTACTGCTCTTTTCAAAGATGAATGGCAAAAGGTCCTATGGTTTAGAAGATGTTGCTGTAACAGGGCTAGCTGTGATGCTCTGAGGTGAGATCTTCCATGTAACTTGAGATTCCTATTAAAATGGGGAGGGTTGCTCTCCGAATTAGTACATGGGGATGACTTCGGTTGTCAACCATTGCTCTGTGGGTTCATTTCTGATTGTTTGGTCCTTCACAATGGTTTGATTGAAAATGTTTCCTTAACAGAGGGACCAGCTGCCTCTGCCCCTGGTGACACACTGTTGCTTTAGCAGTTGGCATGGAAGTCCTTTAGAATTCATTTGGGTATGGATGGATGAGACACACATGCGCTTCCTGAGGCTAACCTGAGGCTCGTGTTTGCACTTGGAGGGCTCCCCATTTTGGTCTGCTGCCTGTAGCTATCAGAAGTTTACTTAGTTTCAGCACTGGTCACTCCAGTCTCCAACCTCCTGTGACCAAATGACTTCCCTCCCTGCCCCCTTTCCTTGGAATGGAATCATTTCCCTCCCCCGCCCAGGCTTCATTTCTGCAGCATTTACTTGGCTACCTGGAGTAGTATTCCCAAGGTTCGTGAGTGTGTGAACGTATACATGTGTGTGCAAACATGTGTGAAATATCCACCTTCTGCAACTGTTGGCATAGAACGCCCATCTTGCCTGCAAGGCCGTGGATCTGAGTGTGTGAAGGTTTTAAGTGTATGAACTCTTTGTTAGAAATGAAACTGTCAAGAAAAGATGGAAAGTAAGTGTGTCCTTGTTTAAAACAAAATCAATTGCTTCAGTTTTACAGTGGGTTGTCATTTAAGGTAGATGCAAGATCTGGGAATTTTTTGGAAATGAAAGTTTTTTTTCTTTAAGATTGCTATTGGAGAAACAAATGTGAATCCCCTTCTTCTCTTGTCCCCTGAGAATCAGAAAACGCAGCAGGTTGGGTCATTCTTTGGGTTTCCAAGCCACCTATTGACTTGGTCCAGGAGGTTGATCTTCTGGTTGCAGAGTAGGAGTTCCCAGAAGTCGGAGATCCTGTGGGGAAGCACTTGGCTCTCATCTGAGCTCTCTCTCCCACAGAGAATAAAGCTTAAAGAGATGGAGGTGATATTCGTTCAGTAACAAGAATATTTGTGCGGGGGTTCATCTGCACATGCATTTATAGTCTTTTCCCCCGTAGGTAGGCCTTCATTCTGAAAACCTTT